AAAACATGCAATGAACATTGTTTTTGTCAGTATTGTGTAAAATTAGACTAATGCCATGCAACTTACCCCAGCTGACCAAAAGTGATGTTCTCATTAAATCTGGAGCTATCATCTTTCTCTTCCTGGGTCATATGACACCACTTTTCTCTGAAGGTACAAAAACAAGGGGGTCAAGGTCAGAGGTCACTGATATTTCTCTCATCAAGCATGAGAGGCCATCAGAGACCATCAACACAATATCTTTCAAAATGTTAAAGTTCACTCAGAAACTTTTAAACACATCACAATAAATACTGGAAGGTTAGAGAGTTAAAAGGTGTAAAAAAAAAACAATCATACAAAAGAACAAATGTGACCCTGGACCACAAAACCAGTCATAAAGGTCAATTTGTCGAAATTGAGATTTATACATCATCTGAAAGCTGAATAAATAAGCTTTCAATTGATGTATGGTTTGTTATGATAGGACAATATTTGGCCGAAATACAACTATTTGAAAAATCTGGAATCTGAGGGTGCAAAAAAATCCAAATATTGACAAAATCGCCTTTAAAGTTGTCCAAATGAAGTTCTTAGCAATGCATATTACTAATCAAAAATTAAGTTTTAAAATATTTACAGTAGGAAATTTACAAAATATCTTCATGGAACATGATCTTTACTTAATATCCTAATGATTTTTGGCATAAAAGAAAAATCTATAATTTTGACCCATACAATGTATTTTTGGCTATTGCTACAAATATACCCCAGTGACTAAAGACTGGTTTTGTGGTCCAGGGTCACAAATGTGTATTAGCCATTCATTAGTGCTCATGCAAAATCCAACAAACATTTTAGAATAAGCCTTAGTGAGCAGTCAGCTATAGCCATGATTTACAATTAATCAAAACAAAAACAAAAACAAGACAAAATTTAAATAATAAAAAGCATATGAGCAACACAGAACCACGGCATAATTCAGCTCACGAAACAGGAAAAAATGCTCAGGCAACAAATTAATGCATTTTTCCATGTGCAAAATGATCCATTCCTAAAAAATAAAATAAGATCTTACTAGAAAAAAAACTATTTTTGCCCCATCTTACACTAATACACAACTGTATTCTGGTCCAATGCATTTTTTATGTTAGTTTTTAGCCAGTTTTAATGCCTACCAGGTGAAAATTGTCTGAACACTTAGCAAAGTGATAGTAAAAGTCTCTTCTAGAAGAGATTTGATGATTTAATGAATCCTTTATGTCTGTAGCACAAACAGTGTGGCACAAACGGAATTACATGTCAAAGTTTAATACTTACGGCTGGGGATTTGAAAGAACCCCTAATGGCAAGTATGAGCACTAGTAATAGTTATGCCTGCCACCTCTAATAGTTCACGCTGGTTAGCAGTTGACATAGCAATGAATAGGCACTTGGATACAATACATTCTGACTGCATGCAATGATACAGCAAATAATGCAGGAAAAGTCAAAGAGTGAATACTGTGAGCTTACTGCCCTCTTCTCATTTTGTATAATGTAGATCAGTGGTTCCCAACTGGTTCCAGAACACATTTTTTTTACACTGACCCCAGAACAGTCCCAAAATTGTTTATCGTACAAAAGTAAACAAAAATGTCCTCGGTTAAACATTGAAATGTATTAATATTGTGGTTGTCAATAATGAGGGCATGTCATGCAACCTGTCCATGCTGGCCAGATGAATTTGATATACCATGCCAAAATACTGTGTTTGATTGGATGCAAGGCTTTTGAAATCAACAACAAAAGCATGTTCCCTTTCCGTTTTAAAGTTAATAAGCCTATTTATTTTACTATACTACCTGCATGGGTGTATGGTTGTTTTTTATTTATTAATGTTTCCCCTGCTGTCAGAATAGATATGCTACTCACTTTTATAGCACAACTATTAGTATTTTAATATATATTAATTATTTTATCTGTTTTTAAGGTCCACAATTTTAACAAAGTTAAAGTTGTGCAATGTAGATAGCGTGATAAAAAAAGACAAAGCATTATGCCTAAGGCAAATGTGACCAACATGAGTCGGTGCATTTTTTGGAGGACCCAGTTTCCTTTGTGTGCTGATGAAAATGTTATCAGAAAGTTACACAACTTCCTGACTGGATCCTGTGCTGAAATATATAAATATATAGAGGGTTTCATGGGGGTTCCCACTTTTATGACCTGAGAATTTTCCAGTCAGTGAATTGCATTAAAAATGATTGCATTGAAATTTCTAGTAGAGTGGAGCTAGGAAAAGTATATATATACAGTGGGTACGGAAAGTATTCAGACCCCCTTACATTTTTC